AAGGCAAGACAGAAATAAATTCATGAATCTGAAGTTATTTTTGTGAAAGTCTTCTGCACTCCGCCTCAGCATAAAGAACAATCTGAAGACTTTTAACACTAATTGTCAGCTCAGCTCTTCAGTATATGCTATAAACTCTGTGCGACAAAATGATGTTTATCACTAGATGTCATAGCTGCATAGTGGAGATCAAATGGACGACAGGAAAGAATTAGCTGCAAGGAATTTTGTGGATATACCAGTCAACAAATGAATATAGCAAAGGAGAAAGAGGTGGACTGGACTCATCACCTACCACGGCCATCGCTTCAGTAGAAGTCTAAAGGAAAATGATGAGTTGGAGTGGACTGGTATTTAACCCTGTCTTACGGGAGATCGGCTGAAGAAGGAATGACAGCAAATGGGTTAGCAGGAGATTCAGCTAAAGGGGACTGCAGGAAACAGGAGATAATGGAGATGTCTTCTTGAATCCTCACGTGCCACTCGTAACCTAAGGCAATCCCATAGTGTGGGTGCGTACTGACGATGATTCCCAAACTAGGATGAAACAGCAGCTGTCCAGTACTCCAGTGCTGGTTTTCAATGCTTCTCTAACTGATATCAATCCGTGATCAACTCGTAAAAACACAACTAATCCTTACAAACCAAACTATAGAAAATAATAAGACGGATCTAGGGAAGGAAATTTTCTTTTCCACGAAGTCACCGTCACCTACGTTGTATATTCGTGTATCTATTAGTAAAATTATAAACTGTAGCAACCAGGAAGATCTGGTAGGAAAGACATAATAAGATCATAATTGAGTATAGGATTTTGTCGTGAGCTGAGATCGGTGAGATAACCATTGGAAAACCAGCTGCGAGCATTGAACAGCTGTTTTGTCCTAGTTTGGAACTCTTCATCACTACGCACCCACCATACTGGGGTTTGAACCCAGGACCACCTTCTGGTTACAAGGCGAGCTAGCTCGTAGATCATTAAGCCACTCACTGGAGCTCAACCCGATACAATGGTCAACCGATGAATTCCATCCCCTGGCAATTCATGACATAGAGCGATAGCTAGACAATGTCATCGCTGGTGGCGCCCTACTGTTCACGACATCCCACTAGAACCCAGGTAACTACCCACCTGAATAGGGCCAGTCACTAGTGAGCATCACATTGATTTTCCAGTATTGATTTGTAGGAATTTGATTGACTGGTGCATGGTGCAGAAGAGCCATAAACTGGGACGAAACAGCTGTTCAGTACTCTCAGCTGGTTTTCCAATGTTTCCTATAACTAATGTTAGCTCATTATGACATCCTGGAACCAATCAATCAAATCCCTACAGAGCAATACATGAAGATCGTAATTACTGAAAAGCTTGATTGCTTCTACAAATTACAGGTTTAGGACGTAGTAATAACAAAATAGGTAGGAAGTTTGGATACATTACAAATAGCAATTAAAAAGGTAAAAATAACAGAAATAAACTGGAAGGTTGGACAAGAAAGGTAACTGAATAATCACTTTTGGTGGGACTGAGTTTTCATGATGGCCATGGTAGAGATAACGACTGCTCTAAAATGTATTTCTTTTGAACATATTCAAGTGGGCATTAGTCTTTCGATCGCTAGTGCCGCACGCTATTCCCAGCCGGATGTCTTGAATTAGCTCTCTTTGAGGGAAAAGTTTGTTTGGATCTTGTATGTAGGACTTTGAAGGACTTTCAAATGGAGTTGAATGTTCTGAATTCACCATATGTTCTGTTACCGAACTGTGTACACCTTTTTGCTTTCACCCTTTGCTAACCATGCTGGATAATGTTCCCGACCGTGATTTACAGGCTGACGTATGGTAAGGACAATGTACTCAGATCTACATGAGTAAGCGAATTGGTATATGCATGTTGAAGTGGCCCAATTAAAAGACTTTTCTCTCATTTGCGTGCTGGTTGGCTAGTTTTTTGCAGGAGAGTGTTACTTGTAGGCTGGCGGGCGGAGAAATATGTTGTACGAGTTGATCACGGATTTATATCAGTTAGAGAAGCATTGAAAACCATCACTGGAGTACTGGACAGCTGCTGTTTCATCCTAGTTTGAGAATCATCGTCAGTACGAACCCACAACATGGGATTCGAACCCAGGACCTTCCGGTTACAAGGCAACCTCGTATACCATTCAGCCACTCACTGGGACCCGATTCAATAGCTCGTGAATTCTAACTTCTACCAATTCGTGATTTAGCGCGACCCCAACCATTGTTGTTGATGGGACATCCATCCACACACGTGACATCTAATTGGACCTCACTGGTTACGACTTTATATTTTACTGAGAGATTTTGAAAGCCCGACCTCAAATATTTCTAGAATATTAATACTACCCGATCTTCGGGATTACTACACTTTGTAATTTTATTAATTTAGCCTTCGACTGAAGGACAATTCTGCATTTTTCTGAAACAATTGCTATACTTAAACGAATGTACAGCATAGTTGACGGTGATTTCATCGAAAAAAAGAAATTTTCTTCGCTACAACCGTCTTTTTAATAATTCCTATGATCCAATGTCCATAATAATATCCCATATCTCATAATAATAATCCCAATAATGGTTATTACGCCTCACGTGGAGTATTCAAAATGAGGCATTCGAAGTAGTATTGTGGCGAGTATTACTGATCAGATTTATCGGTGGCACAAAAGGATAAGTTCATCGGCATAAAAACATCGGTCTTCCCAGCCACTCATTTGTAATACCACTACTTCGCGCTGCAAATCTTCCACTCTCTGCTACCATTCGTTCAATTTTCTTTGACTCTATTGCTGCTACCGTTGTGCTCAGCAGCTGCTTGGTCACCTTAGCCAGCTCACCAATGTCCATGGGTTGTACAGTGTTAACCAGTTGTAGTTGCTCAGATATGTCGTCTGAGACACTCTCGATGAACTGGAACGCCAATAGCTGTGGCTCGAACTCTTTTTTTTAATTTACAGCTTGATTCCACACTGTATTTTTGATACAAGTATTCGTTCAATGTGAAGAGTGCACGACTTAGTACATTCGTCAGCTTCACCACCAACAATAGTAGGTCTTCGTATGGTCCCAGCTTCGCTGCATGGAACTACTGCATCGTCAGCTGCCTGTCCGTGAGGTTGTCAAACTCTGCCATCAATCGATCAACCACCAGCTTCCATATCTTCGTCCCATCTGACCAGTACACACTGTCATACACCGCCATTAATCGACCTAGCAGGAGCATCTTCTGCACGACCGCCCTCATCATCAGATCCTCGACGCCCACCAACTCAGAGACAGCTTTAAAGTCCCTCAAGAAGCTCTGCATGTCTCCTTCCTTGCACGCAACAGGCCGCACAGTCTTCATTGTTTGGAGGCAGCGACACCATTTGAAACGGTAGAAAACGAAAGACTTGACAGAGGAATGTTTGGTTACAGGATTTCATCATGAGCTGACATCGGTTAGAGAACCATTGGAAAACCGCTTGGGAGTACTGGATGGCTGTTTCGTCCTAGTCCGGGACTCTTGATAAGTACACACCCACCACGGGGAGTTTGAACCAATGACCGCCTTCTGGTTGCAAGGTGAGCTAGCTCGTATACCATTAAGCCACTGGGCCCCAATCCAATGGTCCATGAGTTCTAACTTCTGCCAGTGTTTATTTGTAAACTGGTATCTCAAAGGAGCCAAATTATCTATTCCCCGTATCTTCAACGCACCATTTTGGGACACACATCTTCCGTATTATACTACTTCTCGCCTTCCTTCATATTGTGTTTCTTTGTGTGTTCCTTCCGCATCTCCGATGTATCTAAGCAAAGCTTTCTCTAAAACTAAATGTTTCTCTTGGTTGTTTGATATTTCAACGCTGACCGATGAACATCTCTTTATACTACTGCCAAGTCTTACCAGTAGCATTCTTACTTACTTTACTTCGGTTATCGCCTACTGGAGGATGATCCGGCTTCATGAACATCTCGAATCATCACTGCCCAGGCGCGGCGGTCTGATGCAAGGTTTTGCCACAGGGTTATCCAATTCTTGTTCCACAGACGGAGTCCGTAGATGGTTTGTAGCCCCAGCCCAGTCACTCCATATCAGCCTTGACTGACTGTACCAAGCCATGTTTTCAGCTGTCCCCCTCCCTCCTGCGACATCGCCAAGATGGAAATGGCGAGGAGGGATTTCGAACTGATTTGACCAGATCGTCATCTGGTCGGCCTGGCTCAGAACATGGCCAAACCACCGAAGGCGACGTTGTTCGACCAGTACTGGAATTTGGTTGATGTTGTAGAGAGTTGATGAAGTTTCATGGGAATTAGGTACGAGTGACGTCCCCAGAATCGCTCGGCCTTTTGTTTGAGAGTGCAGCTCTAGCCTTTACACAACCAACCAAGTGTGACCTCCTACAAGGCAGTAGGAGTGGAGTAGGTAGTCCACTATCCATTGTCAGGCAGCCAGTGAGCGGAGTCCGGTTCATACGCCTTTTTGAATGGGGCCAGACATGCACCAGGGCATCCAATAAGTCATTTGTCCATACGTCTGCCTACCGGTGAGCTTCATACGCCAGTCGTTGGAGGTTTGGAATCAGGCAGGGTTTAGCCATCTTCCCTAGACTGTCATCCAATGGAGGACAGTCAACCCGGTGAAGAGTGTCGAGCATCAGCTTTCGCCCTCTCACTTCGGTGGTGAAAAACACCTCCGCTACGTGAAGGCAGTGAGGACTGAGGACTTCCTCAGGAGAGGGGCTATGTAAGACGCCCGGTCATATGCGAACATTTCTAGAGGTGTACAGTGGGAGGGGTGGCCAACCCGCAGCGCAAGGCACCCACCCCCGACCATCCTGAGGCTTTGGAGGCATAGTATGAATGGTGATTTGTAGATGATGGAAAACTTTCATTGACATTTTCGTTATTATCGGTTTTTTAACAGTGACCTGAAAGTTGACTATAGGATTGTTTAGCTCATTAACAAACAAAGTTAATTTTTCACTCACTTTTTCATCATATGACAATCGATTGTCCGGTAGAGGAGAATACACTGAATCCGTGTGTTTGTGTTTATTGTCACCTCCAGGCCATTGAGAATCTTCATTCAAATAATTTGTACTTTTTATTTTAGGAAAATGTTTTATCACAGTTTGCCTTCTCAGACTATTATTATTCGACGATTTACAAGTATCAGGTGTTGATGCTTTTGATCGATATAAATGTTGATAGTGTTGAGAACTGCCTTGAGGAGGCGAGGGTGTTACAGGTCCAGATGATGCCCTACTCTTCAAGTCTTTGATTATTTTACTTGCATTCTGAAGTTCTCCGATAATCTGTGTATCACAGTTGTGTAAAGATCCCTGGAATAATAGATAAAAAGTAATCATTTTGAGTAATACTCATGAGAACATTTAAAAACAATAGTAATAATAATCATAATAATAGTAGCTTTGTTCTAAAAAGACGGCATTCGGACACAGTAGAGAATTTCCAACTGGTTCCACAGAATTTTTTTTATTTACTCCGTGTGTGTGTGTGTGTAAATAACCTTCAACCCTTTTTATAATTCCTTTACCTTCGCAGTGTGGAACAATAGGGTGACTTCAAGCTAGAGCTATTTGAAGTTGATGTAGCATTGATGTTTATTTGTTCTACAGGATAGGTTTGCTGCTAGCCCCATGGCCCCAGCCAACCTTCCCTCTTTACCAGTTTTATTATTACTGGTTCAGCGAGCGAGTTAGCAAAGAGTGCATCGGTGGATGCGGGGGGGGGGTGGGCGGATCAAACTTCGGACGGTGCGCATGGTCGGCGAGCAAGCATCCTAATCACTATTTTACCGATGCAATGCATTCCGGAGCATGTTTCAACACCTTGTCCAACAGTATGGTCTTCTTCCTCCGCCATTTTCTTCGATAATATCATGAGAATAGACAGAAACTTATTCAAAATTGTCTGTGTGAGTACAGATGACACAGCATTCATTGTGGTAATCAGATGATTCAACGGCTGATTTTTGGTATTATTCACTTCACATGGTCTATTTTAATGGTGTAGCTGCGGGCTCACCACTAGGCCCTCTGCTTGTGGATTTCTTTATGTCGAAACTCGAAAACACTTGCCTAAAGAATATGAGTGACAACTTTGAACTCTACAAGAGATACGTCGACGACACCTTCATTATCTGCAACAACGAAGAGAATTTAGAAGATATCCTGAAGTTCTTCAACAACTGCCACCCTGCGATTCAGTTCACACTAGAGAAAGAGTCTAACTCAAAGATATCTTTTCTTGACGTTCAACTAACGAGACGCCAACAAGACGGGACATTAAAAAAAATCCATCTACAGAAAGCCAACGTGGAACGGACAACTCACTAACTTCCACATTTGGGTGCCTCTATATACTAAACGAAACTTAATCCGTTCAGTAAGCCACAGAATACGTAGAATTTGCAGCCTGGACGCCGTAGAAGACGAAATGAACACTCTTAAGAAAATCCTCCTTGAAAATGTCTATCGAGAAAGATTTATCACAAAATCAATGAAACCTAGACCAGAGAAGCCGCCCACACCCAGTACTCCAAAAAGACTTCTCTACATGAACCTACAGTTCAATGGAGACCAATCTACAGAAATACTGAGAAATCGGCTCTCCCGCTCATTGAAGAAAACCTTCCCTTCAACTGAATTACGACTGACGTTCTCCACGAGACCAATGGTTCGTATGAACGTGAAGGACAGGCTACCGCTGTTGGCCTCATATATGTGCATCTACCAATTCACCTGCTCGTGTGGAGCCAGGTATATTGGCCGTACTCAGCGTTCGCTATCCAAACGCGTAAACGAACATTTACCCTCATGGTTTTATCAAAGGAGAAAAACGATGCCCCCGTAGCTCAATCCTTGAACATTTGATCAACTCTGGACACCAAGTCAAACCAGAAATCAACTTCAAAGTTATCTACAGAATACAAGGCAATCTTGATAAAAGTGTACGTATCAAACTTCTCCACATCGCAGAAGCAATGGCAATTCATCTGCTAAATCCTGAACTCTGCATACAAAAGAAATTCGTTGTCATTGTATTATTTTGTCTTTTGCATTTTATTATTTCACATCTTCATTTATATTATTCTCTACCCAACCCTTTTGTAATCTCTACCCTCATTAACAATGTTGCTAACTTGACCCACGTCCAATTTCTAGTCAACTATGTTACGTCATCCGATTAACTTGCTTATTTTCAACTGTATTATTCTCTAACCCCACCCTTATTTAATTTTAACCACCACTCATTAACACTGTTGCCAACCTGACCTACTCTGAATTCTACTCAACTGTATTACGTCATCCAATTCACTTAATCAATTCTATTTAATTTTCTATCTTAACGTTTGTCTCCAAGCCAAACAATACTTACATTACATAATTATCTAAACTTTATAAATCTAATGTACACACACACACAAACAAAATTGTATATATATGCGATTGTACAGCTCAGTGAATGAATTCGCCGTCGAAAAGAGTCTCTTCGCTGAACTCCTTCTTTTCTTTTAATGGTGTCTGTAAGTTTTACTGTGAAGTTAACTCAATTGATCTTCGTAAATTGATATTTGGCTTTCCTGCGGCCGACTGCCTCCAACCATCTAATATCATCAAATCAATGTGTATCGTGATGGTGAGAGCTACCTAGATTAGTGACCACATTGCAAACCTGACTGACTGATAGAATTCAGTCTGCTCCAAAGAAACAACTAGACGCATCACACACCAGTTACTAGTGTCTAAGTGTATCTAAGTATCTACTACAGTCCTACTACAGGAGATCAATCACAAGCCAATGAGAATAACTCAATGCTGGTAACGTCTCTGACTCACTGCAGTAGTCACGCGGGGTTCGAATCTCAAAAAGGTACATGAATCTCTTAAAGGTAGTAGATACGCCTTGCTGGCTTATGTTGAGTGCCAACTAGCACTAAACCTAGGTCCAGACAGGGCTTCCTCTGGCCTATTACCTCCAACCATCTAATGTCATCAAAAATAATCTACTTTATTCCAAAAACAGCACTACTTATAATGCAGAATGGAACTCTCAGCATTTGTCACAATATCTAACACTTGATGTACTCATTAACGTAAATAAAATTAACTACAAGAATCTGTCCATATTTACAGTAGGAATAAAGTTAAAAATGTGCAAAGTACAAATTGAGAACAATAACTCTGATGATAGTAATGATAACAGTGAGTTTGTTTCAGACAGTATTGTCGATTCAGTTTGGAAATTTTAGCACCTTAGTATAGAGTGTTGAATCTAATGTTCTCTTGATATGGAATGGTGAGGGGAAAGACAAATTATAACAGTTATTATACAGCCTAATGAAAAAAAATAAACACACATAAAGAAGTGAGAGGATTTTAAATATAAGTAGAATAATGACAGTAAAGTAAAGCTTGATTAGTGGAATAAGGATGAAGAAAATGATGATTTATTTACTAGTGAAAAGAGGGTAAGTTAGTTAGTTGGTTAGTTAGTTCGTGCCTAACACTATTTTCATCACATAAAATACGTGCGCACGTGCTCAAATATGTTCACGTGGAATTATTTTTCTACTTAGACGTGAGAGCTTAACGTCTTTTGATGAAATGACTTCTTGTTTTACCTGAAGAGGAGAAGACATAAGGTGGATACATCCCTCTTAGGAAATTTGTTTCATGAAATCAAGTGCCTACCTATGACATACTCCTTTTCAAGCAAACCAGGAAAGAATAAGGATGAACAATAAAGAAGAATAGGTAAGACGATCAATCTTAAAAATGATCGTCATCACAAAAGCTGATAAAGAAAATTCTACAGCAGTTTTGGATGAACCTGATTATATAAGAAAGTCACTGAACACGTTGAAGAAACAGGTCTACATGAGTAAATTAAGAAGCCTGTAGATGCATAAGATTAAGAAATCTACAGTGGACTTAATACGCAGAATGGAGCTCTGTCACTGGGCGAGTTCAAATTATTATTATTATTATTATTATATTCTTTAATTCCTAGAGGAATATAGGGCTTCAGCCACGCGTCTCCATTACCTTCGGTTTTCTGCCAACTTTTTCACTCCGTTTCAAGTTTGCCCACATGCTTTCATCTCCTCCTCACATCACCTCCTCCAAGTCACCCTTACACTGACAACCAACTCGCCACCCGCTTCCCTTTCGGCTGGGTTCCACTCGACCAATGGCTTGTCTAGTGATCCCAGTCACTTGATGGTTTCCTCAGAGTATGGACACAATCCAATCCATCTCTATTTCTTCCTGCCTATTTGTTTCACAATCGGTTCCTGCTGTGTTGGTTCGCTCATTGCCAGAGATCCCTGTTGCTGATCTTTTCTGCCCGGCCATCTGATCTTCAGTATTGAGCGAAGACCACTGTTGATGAAGGTCTGAAGTTTGTTTGAGATGCTCTTTATGACGCACTGGCCAAGTCTCTGATCCGTATAGTAGCACTGACTTCACATTGGAGTTGAAAATCCGGATCTTATTTTTGATGGTGAGTGATGTTGACTTCCACACAGACTTAAGTGTAATGAAAGCTTGTCTTGCTTTTCCGATTCTGTCTTTGATATCCTCGTCAGTTCCGTCGGCCTGTAGTTGAAACGATTCTTCCCAGGAAGGTAGGTAGGTAGGTAGGTAGGTAGGTAGGTGAAGGATGTTGTTTCTTTCAGGTTCCCCCCATTTATCCTAGCTGATTGTTGTCTGTTGTTGTCGCTATGGCTGTTGGTGTTGGCCAGGAATCTTCATCACCTACCTCTGTTTTACCTATGTTCACTTGAAGTCCTATCTTTGATGCTTCTTCTTTGGCCAACTTGTTGCTTTTCACTTGCATATCTTCCTGTTTGTGGGAAATCAGACATATGTCATCATCGGCGAAGTCCAGATCCTCCAAGTCTCTTTTTGTGTGAGTCCATTTTATGCCTGCTCCCTCGTTGGTTGCCGTTGTCTGTCGCATTATCCAATCTACTGCAATCAGGAAGATCATTGGTGATAGTAGGCAGCCAGCCGACTTGTCTCACTCCGAGGGCTTCCGTAAGTTTCCCGTTGTGGATAACTTGGAATGCAGCATTGTCGTACAACTGTTGGATGAGATGTATAATTGTCGATGGCCCCCCTTTGGTGGTAGCGAAGTAGTTTCTAAATCACCTCTCGAACGACGCTGCAGTATCGAAGGCCTTTTCAAAGTCGATGAAGCTGAGATAGAGAGGTGACTGGCATTCCAAGCTTTGTTCAATGATGATCATTGGTGTGGCGATTTGATCAATACATGACTTGTTTCTTTTAAATCCAGCCTGTTCCGGTCGAAGTTT